TGACGCCCGCCGAGATTGCGCGCATGGTACGCGAGGGGGCGGCCAAGGCGTCGCGGAGGGATCTGGCGAGGTTGAGTGCGCCCGCGGTGTTGGGGCGGACAGCTGGGGGCGCCGGGCATGGGGGCACGACGATCTCCGGGACGATGGTGCTGGCGAGGTTGGCGGGGATAAGGGTCTTTGGGACGGGGGGGTTGGGCGGCGTGCATCGTGGGGGGGAGAGCTCGATGGATGTGTCGGCGGATTTGACGGAGTTGGGGAGGACCAGGGTGGCGGTTGTGAGTAGTGGGTGTAAGGGGTTTTTGGATATTCCGAGGACGTTGGAGTTTTTGGAGACGCAGGGGGCGTTTGTGGCGACGTTTGCGGATGGCCGAGAGGTGGTGGACGGGAAGGGGGTGGATTTCCCGGCTTTTTGGGCGCGTGACAGCGGCGTGCCGAGCCCGGCGGTCGTGAGGGACGAGAGGGATGCCGCGGCCATTATCTTGGCGCAGGAGCGGTTGGGCGTGGAATCGGGGATGTTGTTTGCGAATCCGATCCCCGAAGAGGCGGGGATACCGAGGAAGGAGATGGAGCTGGTGATTGAGACGGCTGTGAGGGAGGCGGCGGAGAAGGGATTCACCGGGAGTGCCAACACGCCGTATGTCCTCACTCGGATCAGGCAGCTCACCGAGGAGAGAAGCACGACGGCAAATGTAGCGTTGGTGCGGTCCAATGTTGCGCGTGCAGCCAAGATCTCGGTCGAGCTGGCGAAACTGCTGGACGGGGCGCCAGTGACGGTCAAGGCGGGCGTTGACGGAACCAAACAAGCATCAACTCCGGCGGCCAAAGTCCAATCAGGGGTAGATACAGCGGCCAAGCCACAGGTAGGCCACTAGGATACCAATACACACCACTTTCGACTGACCGGGCCTAGGATCCCCATCCGGTGGACGTCCTCGTAGCAGGCTCAGTGGCCCTTGATTTGAACTGCGACTACGCTGGTGGCAAGACAGTGACCCCAGCCCTACACACATCTAACCCTTCCAGTATAAGCCAGTCCGTCGGCGGCGTCGGGCACAACATCGCCCTCGCAGCCCACAGAATCAGCGGCGACGGGAAGGTCCGCCTCTGCAGCATGGTCGGCGATGACATCGCCGGCTCAACCATCCTCTCCACCCTCCGAGCCACAGGCCTCGACACCTCCAGCATCCGCCAGCTCGGCACCGAGTTCCCGTCCGCCCGCACGGCCCAATACGTAGCCGTCAACGACGCCGACAAGAACCTCGTCATGGCCATGGCCGACATGGACATCTTCTCCACCCACTCCTTCCCCTCAGACTGGACCTCCACCGTCGCCACCGCCCAACCTAAATGGCTCGTCGTCGACGCCAACTGGTCCGAGACCGACATCCAGACCTGGCTGCGCGCCGGCGCCCACCATAACGCACGCACCGCCTTCGAGCCCGTCTCAGCCGCCAAATCCCAGCGCCTCTTCCCCATCATCCCCAAAAACAACAAACCCACCCTCGGCGTCTACCCCCGCCCCACCGTCGACCTCTGCACCCCCAACCAGCACGAGCTGCTCGCCATGTACGAGGCCGCGCGCGCCCGCGGCTACCTGGAGCACGACGCGCCGTGGTTCGGCGTGCTGGACGGGTTCGGCATCCTGCGCGGGGCGCGCGAGCGTTTTGTGGATATCGCCGGCGCGGCGGTCGCGGATTCGGGCGTGCCCGTGCAGTGCGTCAATCTGCTGCCGTATATCCCGACCATTGTGGCCAAAATGGGGGCGGGCGGGGCGTTGTTGGTGATGGTGTTGGGGAAGGGGGATCCCAGGTTGCGGGATCCGGAGCAGGCGAGGTTTGTGGTCAGTCGGTCGGTGGATGGGCGGGGGGAGGTGGGCGGCGTGTATATGAGGCTGTTTCCGGTGGTGGAGAGGGTGGAGGATGTGGTGTCGGTGAATGGGATTGGGGATACGTTTATGGGGGTGTTGGTGGCGGGGTTGGCGATGGGGGGGAAGGTGGAAGGGCTGATTGATGTTGCGCAGAGGGCGGCGGTGTTGACGTTGAGGAGTAAGGAGAGTGTTAGTGCGGAGGTTAGGGGGCTGAGGGGGGATTTGAGGAGGGCGGTTGAGGAGTCGCGGTGATGGGGTGATGGGTGAGTTTGTAATGTATGTATGTATTAACTATATGAAGTTTGTTTTCGACGAGATACCCGTATGTCATTTGCTACTACTTGTAGTTATACAAATCAGCTGATTCGTTAAACGGCTGGAAGAAAGTAAATAACTCCCATTCTCAACTACGACTCGTGGGCTGTTGTTGACCTGCCCCTGAGCCACACAGATCTCTTCCCTGACAATCGACACACCAGCCCAATAAGGTAATTGGCAAGCCAGGTACGGGATGAAACATGTGCAACAAGGCCTCCCAGATCTTCACGACTTCCCCGCATCATACCCAAAGCAACCTCGGCATCTTCCCGCATAGGGAGAGCTCCCCCACATCTCCACCGCTCCCTTGTTCCTTGGCGTGTACCATTCCAGACTTAATTAGGGACGTTGGCCATTGTATGCCTTTTACCTCTTCCAAGTCACGATAGCAGATACTGAACTGGCAGAGTCGTCACAATGCCCATGCACAACGGTTTCCTCCCCCGCGAGGGCTTCAAGGGAGACACGGTCCTCAAAATCATCCGCGACACGGCGCTCAACCCGCAGCTCGTTCTCCCGCTGCTTCTCTTGACCAAGTACACTAAGAAGGGCCAGGACTGGGCTATCCTCCACCCATTGGCCTACTCCCGCCTCAAGAAGCTTTTGGTGTTTGGCCTTGTCAGGTGGATCAACAACTACTTCTCTCGAAAGGTCCTGAACAACTGGGTCGACGACAAGTATGACTGGTCGAAGGAGATCGTCGTCGTAACAGGCGGCGCTGGCGGTATCGGTGGCCAGATTGTCCAGTTGCTGGCCGAACGGGGCATCAAGGTCGTGGTGCTGGATATCCAGCCCCTGACTTACACGGCCGGTAAGCAAGAACAACAACTCCCCTCCTTCCTATCACCAACTAACAGAACGCAAAGCCCCCAACGTCCACTACTTCAAGTGCGACCTCACCTCGCGCAAAACCCTCTCGACCGTGGCGCGCGAGGTGCGCCTCGCGGTAGGCGACCCCACGGTCCTAATCAACAACGCGGGCGTGGTGCAAGGGCGCACCATCCTCGAGTCCTCGGAGCGCGACATCCGCTTCACCTTCGACGTGAACACCTTCGCGCACTACTGGACCACCCAAGAATTCCTGCCCGCCATGGTGCGCGCCAACCACGGCATGGTGGTGACGGTAGCCTCGGTGGCCGCGTGGGTGACGGTGCCCAACATGGTCGACTACGCCGCCTCCAAGGCGGCGGCGCACGCCTTCCACGAGGGCCTCACGGCGGAGCTGGCGACGCGCTACGGGGCGCCGCGCGTGCGTACCGTGCTGGTCAACCAGGGCTACACCACCACGCCGCTGTTCCGGGGCTACCGCAACGACAGCCCCTTCCTGATGCCCGCGCTGTACCCGGCCACGGTGGCCGAGGCGATTGTGAGGCAGGTGCTAAAAGGGGAGAGAAACCAGTTGATCCTGCCCGGGTTTGCGGGCACGTTGCCCGTGCTGGCCGGGATGCCGCATTGGTACCAGACGCGGTTGAGGGCGAAGAATCAGACGATTATGAAGGCGTTTGCGGGGAGGAAGGTGGTGGAGGATGTGGAGCGGTTTTATGAGGAGAAGGAGGAGGCGGAGAATAGGGGGAAGAGGGTTACGGTGGAAGAGGAGGCGGAGGAGGGCGTCGGGGCGGGCGCGAGTACGGTTTTGGTGGAGAAGTGATGTGATGGGGGTTGGAACGGTCACTCGAGAGGATAAGACGGTGTGGATGTGTCTTGCGTGTTTGTTTATATGTACTCGCGGGCGTATTAGGTGCTTTCTTCTATTGCGTGTATCCTATCTAATGGCCTAGGAGTCTTTCGAGCAATATAACGAGTTTCCAGCGTTCGGTGCCGTATTATGCAACCGTCTGAAGCCTAGTCCTAGATACTGGATTCTTCCTCTGGAAGGACTCGACTGTTGATCTTGTAGCTACGCCTTGGAGATGAGCAACGGCTAGCTTCTTTCTCTGTCTTCTTTTTCTTTTCTTTTTTTGGAGATTCAGCTAGCAATCAACGAAATCAGGGAGGTACTACAACGCTAATTAGTTTGTATTCAAAGCTGGTGATGGATTATACCGCGCCGGGCGTACATAGGTACCTAGGTAGGTACCTACCTAGACACGACGATAACAGGCTGTGCAGGGGACAATGTCGCCACCAAATGACTAGACAACACCGAACTAGACCAACATTTCAGTCTTGTTGCGCATATTCAAGGGTACGATTTGAAAGTCCCTGGCTAGTTTACATCCCAGTATGCCAGGTGGTTGCCCAAATTCACACCACACCTAACGCCTCCTATTGCAAATCAAGAGCCTAAGGCTTAAGACAAGCTAACCAGATTATCTGGAAACTCTACTTCAGTGAGATGGCAAAACAACATCTCAGGATACATAACCGCTACTTATAAAATCGGGGACAGGAGCATTACCTCTTACCAACCTTCAGACGAATTACTAGGTAACCAACCCATCTCACAATAACAGCTATGTTGAATTTGTAACTTTAACGAATCATCCTATTTATTGGACGTAATCTTCCTTGAAAATATACGCATTAATCAATGGCAACAGCAATACACACCCTTTTGGTGATACATCTACAAACTCGTGGTCGGCGGCTTCACTCCCCGTGCAGCTCTGGGACTGTCAACGCCGGCCTCTTCTCTTTCTTCGTAGCATGGCCGTTTTGTTACGGCGCGCTTTGGGAAAGTCGTGCCGTCTCGCCTTTTTGATTTCCCTCCTCACATCCTAGCCGTCTCGGCAGCGCCACTTTCATGATGGAATGGTTGTTGAGAGCAATGTAGTCCAGCAAAACTGGGGGACGAAGATGTGGGGAAGTTGAGAGAACTCATAGTTGATTGATTTAAAGGCTTTATACAACCCTAACGCTGTCCTTGCCAGGATGTCTATACCTCGAACTGGGAGTATGCTTTTTTTCCCTGAATGAATACCTCGGTAGTAGCTTGGATCCAAGCGGGGAGATGTCGATGTCTCAAAATGGAATGCTGTTACTACTCCAACTTCATATCGGGAAGGAATCTGGAAACTAACACCCAGAAGGCAGGGCAGCCCTCGAACCTGAGCGGAAAGGCTTTGAAATGTTTGGTGGCGCTAGCGAGGCCCAAGCTCTGAAAGTGGGCTTGCTTTCAGTGAGGTTCTGGACTGGGCGTTACTGGGCCCCTGCTTGTTTGACGACTGTTTGTCGCTGGCCAGTGACCAATGGATGCCCGCCGATTGGGCAGCAGGCGGAGACCTGCGGGGAGCGAACACACGACATCAGATCATCCCCTGCGCAGAATCAGCCCACTTGTGCTGCAAAATGGGGAAGGATGGACCACACCATATCAGCTTACCCGCCGAGCCCGCCTGGAAGTGCCCGCAAAACAACAGCACAAGCTTGAGACGAAGCACCAAAATTGAGTGTTGAACCCTTCCCGGTCGTCGCCCCTTCCCTGCCTGTCAAATACTTTCCGCGCTTTCATTGAATACCAATTTCAGCCCGAATTCCCCGTCGTTCCATTCACACAATGTACTCTCTTTCCTGCACTCACTGTCTCGTGCCCAAGTTCCCTTTCCCGAACTTTGTCTTCTTCTGAGCGGCTCCGCGATCTTGACGTTACCTCAAGCCAAGCAGCGAGTTGCAGATCTCTTGTCCCACTAGGTCCCCTGCCGCATTGACAACATTAGATTCAAGTTGTATTCTAAATTCAGGGCTTCTGTCTCTGTCTTGTCACCATTATTGTTTGTTCCAACGCTCTGGATCTGCCATCGCCAAAGACCCAGGCCAGATTTACGGTTGTGGTAGCTTTATCTCAACACTCCGGTCTCTTGCATCTAAACTCTAGGTGACGTTGTCATCTCGAGCTGCGGCGGTCCCCGCTTGCTATCGTTGCAGTTCAACACCGAGCTGTCAACCCCAGTTCTCACCTTCGGGACCCAATCGAGAGCCTGGTTTGTATCTTTGACGACGCCTTGTGACTGGTAACGGCTTCCGCCGGCCGTATTCAGCTTTTGAAGAGCTCCCTACGGAATAGCGGACAGAGCCGCCCCTCCCCGCGATCAGTCAGCCCACTTGTTATCCAATCAACAGCAATAGCCATGGGATTCAATACCGTACCTAGCGAGCCCTCGAGAGGCGTGGGGAAGGGCCAAATGGACACGGCTGCGTGTGTCGACCGCCTGGCCCTGCTCCGGAGCATGCCCCAGGCGCCCCTTGAGTGTCAGGTTTGTGTTGTCGGGGCAGGCCCAGCCGGCCTGATGCTGGCATGTAACCTTGTCCGGTTCGGTATCAAGGTGGAAGTGGTGGATGATCGGGCGGACCAAACATCGGTGGGAAGGTAAGCTACCCTAAGCCACCTCCACCCGCTTCATCCATGGTTTCTGACTTGAGGTGTGCTGCAGAGCCGACGGTCTGCAGCCAAAGTCAATCGAGACCTTTCGGCAAATGCGGCTGGCGGACCCCCTTCTGCAACGCGGCGTCCGGGTCTACAGCATTTCCTTTTGGCAGAGCACCGCCGACACACCACTCAAACGCCTTGGCCGCGAAGTCCACTACCCGCCCTTCGTTGATGTGATAGACCCTTACGTCTTGCTGGTACACCAGGGAGTGGTTGAGAGCGTGTTCATCGACGACTTGAAGAAGCGCGGCATCGAGATCCGCAGGAACACGGCCTTCGACTCGTACAGCGTGTGCGACGATAATCGCGGGTTTCTCCAGATCAACTGCCGGACAAACGTGAACCAAGTGCCCAGGTCTCTTCTCACGCGGTATCTCGTTGGATGTGCGTATCATTGAGACGGGTGTGGTTTGAGGACTGGGCTGACTATTCTCCAGGTGACGGTGCCCATTCCAAGGTCAGAGGATGCATTCCAGGTGCTACGTCTGACGGAATCTCGCAACCTGCGCTCTGGGGTGTGCTAGACGGCGAGGTGGACACCGATTTTCCTGACATCTGGTCCAAGGCTTTGGTGCAATCGGAGAAATACGGTTCAATCATGGTTATTCCACGGGAGCGTAACGTGACGCGCTTCTACGTCGAGCTTAAAAACTCGCCCAAGGCAGATAAGAATCAGCTTGACGAGGAGGCCGTCATGCAACGCGCCAGGGAGATAATGGCTCCCTTTCGGCTCGAGTGGGATAACATTGAGTGGTTCGGCCGTTATCAGGTCGGCCAGCGTATTGCCCACCGATTCTGCGACGACCATCAGCGGGCCTTCATCGCCGGAGACGCCAGCCACACGCACTCGCCAAAGTCTGCCCAGGGAATGAACACATCAATGCACGATGCCTGGAACCTGTGCTGGAAACTCAACCTTGCCATTCGAGGCCTTGCTAAACCCGTGTTACTTCAAAGTTACGAATCGGAGCGGAGGAAGATTGCCCTCGATTTGGTCAACTTCGACTACGAACACGCAATCCGGGTCGCCAAAGGAGATCCCGTCGCGCTTTCTGAGAATTTCAGGACTAATACGCGCCTTATCTCTGGCGTTGGAGCCGATTACGGCGAGAACGCCATCAACATGAAGGAGCCCATCCCAAACTTCATCGGCAAACTCCAACCGGGTTCGCTCCTACCTCCGGGCAAAGTCAGACGCTACATTGACTCCAATCCAGTTGATATCCAGCTCGATATTCCAATGCTTGGTCAATTCCGCATCTATGTAATAGTGTGGGATGTCAACCAGTCGGTCGTCTTCTTCGATGCCTTCTGCCGGGCTATCACCTCACCCAACTCTCTCCTCAGCCAACTTTCCGCGGCAGCACGTGCATCATACACTCAGCAACCGCGCATGCCGGCCCCCGAGGACATTTACCTCCGCCCAGAGCGCTACACGGCTGTCAGCCACCTCTTCACGTTTGCACTCATCAGTGCGTACCCCTACCTATCTTTCATTCCTTTTTCTCCGCGACCCATTTCCCAATGAACTAACCCGTTTAAATAGCAACAATGCCTCAAGGAGAAGTCGAAATCCAAGACCTGCACCCGCTCTTCCAAGATAGCCGCTGGACCTTTTATTTGGATGACGTCCCCCAGCAGGACACGTGTCGCATGCGCTGCACCGATAAGTGGATCGGCAACGCTCTCCCGGGCGAGGTGACCATTGTGAATGTGCGCCCCGACGGCTATGTCGGCTCGATCGGCCAGTGGGATATAAACGTTGAAGATTCCGGGGAGAAGGCCGCCAGGTGGCTGGATCAATACTACTCACGGTTTTTGCAGGTGCCCGTGGTGATGCAGGCTCAAGCTTGACTTGACGGTTTGTGAGTTTGGGCGGTGGGGGTTAACTGGGGATGGGGTAATGCAGGATTCGTGGTCTTCCGGATTAGGAGGGGTTTGTATACGAGATCCTGTGAGACAGTGAGTTGCTGTTGGGGAGGTATTTAGAAGTTTAGTTTCCTTCCTTCTAACAACCTTGTGTTTTGTTTCTTCCTCTTTTCTTGTATGGCGCCTGGAACCATAGGACATTCAAATATTTTAGGTATTTCAGTTCATTTCACACTAATTTTCTGGTGTTCGGCGCTGTGCCCGATTGCTAGTGTTGAATTTACTTTCCCAGAGTTGCATTCTTGACCCCTTTTATTTACTTCCGACCACTATACTCAAACTTCGTCCACCTTCTGGTTTTAGAATGTATTTTTACAATACAACCGGTGCAATATGACAGCATCTCCTTTCTTTCCCTGTGAATGACATCAAGTGAAAACGAAAATGGGTAATGGGTTGGAGTTGGTGCCGCAGGTGTTGGCTCGCTCCTAGTTAGCCCCTGAGCTTGCTTGTAAATAACACGAAACTGCCCATGCTACATTCGAGTTCCCGATGTACCTTATGTACCTAGATACATACTACAATTACACGCCCTACCGGAAATGGGGCGCCAATAAATACCTCGAAAAGGGGGTTTGTCTACCTCTATGTGCCCCCCTTCACTCACTACCTACGCCGTGAACGCCCTGACTCGTAAGTCATCCGGAACTCCGATACACATTCTTTCAACCCCCCTATAGTTCTTTAAGATCCCCCAACAATTCCCGCAATCTGATAACCAGAGCCCGCGGCGGAAAAGCCGGCTCGGTTCGCACCTGACAGGCTCGGCTCCATGCTCGAAGGACCTCACACCGGGGGCGGATTTTGGTGGGTGGCATTTGGCCCCCACCCCTCTAGCGGCCCAAACTGGTCGGCTTTGGTTGTGGGGATAGGGAGGAAGGCTGTATGAACGGGTTGTCGTTGGGCCCCGTCTTGCGCCGCTCGACGTCAATAGCTGTAAAAGCACAGTGTTTTCTCATTTTCTAGCTATACTGAGCGGCGTGTCACCGGCATTGGTCGCTGCCAACACGTCGGCACCCCGCCGAGAAGTAAACCCACGGTGTCCGGGAGCCCAAGCTCAACGGCTACATGAAGGGGAGTTACCCCTTGCGCATCCCGCGAGTTGATATCGGCGCCTGTTGATAAGCATCTTGACCAGCTGATGCTGGCCCCGGTGGGTCGCGTGGTGGAGGGGCGTCTTCCCTTCAAGATCCGGTATCGATATCTTGTCCGTTCGCTCGATGAACTTGCGTGCGAAGCTATCGTATCCCCGCTCGACTGCAAACGCCAAGATATGCTCGGCTGCTTTGGACAGGGCAGCCTCATGCTCAGGGCCCTCCTTATCGGCGTCATAGGTTTCTATGAACCCTTCCATGCTCAAGATCCTCCCCCAGGTATCCGCTTCTATTCGTCTGGCCAGCGTCAATTCTTCGAGTAGAACAGCATTTGCCCAATGTCCCCGGTCAACGGCCCCGGCCAACGGCCCCGGCCAACGAGCGGGCTTCCAGTTCGAGGGCGGCGAGCTGGCGCTTCACCTTTTCCAGCTCAGTCTGTTTGCGGAATACCTTGTCCGTTTCTTCCTTTAGGTTGGCCCGTAATTCTTCCGCTTTGCTCTGTTGACTTTTGCGGGCCCGGCGTAAGTCGTCTAATAATGCGCCGGGTCCTGACAATTCTAGCGCAGTTGTCGCGTTGACGGTGGGCCCAAGCACCGCGGGCATGATTGAGGGTGTGAGGACGTATCTTCTCTGCGGAGCGGAGGCTTGGAGCGGCTGTAGATCCATGCGTATGACCAGGGAAGAGTTAAACGCGCATTGTTGCCCGATAGCCATCTTCCTCCAGGGGTCCGGATGACGATCGATTTCCCCTGACGTCGTGTTTCTGGAGGCCACCATGAGAATGCAAGTAGGTTGTGCCTCCGCGTCGATCTTAATGACGGTAACAAAATCGGTTACGTTCTTAGCAGGCTCCCGAAACCGCACTATAATTCTCTGGACACCTTCTGCGGCGGGTTTGGCTGCCGCCTCGATCAATGCTCTCTCCTTGTGCCAACAAGCCTCTGGGCGTACGCTGATGAGCTTCAAGCCCGGGACGGAATTCCGGATATGGATCAAACAAGCCCCTGCTGACTGGACGAGTGACTTGCGCCCGCCATCAAGTTGCAGATGAACCAAAGTGGTAGAACTGTCGGGCACAGGCTTTGGCAGCAATCTAGCTCCACGGCCGTCCAACCTAAAATATTTCCCCGGTGGTCCCCCAGGCGCAGCGACAAGAGGTATCCCTACTACCTTGTTGTTGTCCCGTTCAAGCCCACATTGGAGTAGGCCGAAAGTCTCAGTTGGTGTGACCCGGACGGATATCGAGAGGCGAATACTTCCGCCATGAACTTCGAAGGAGGAGTGGGCTCCATGGCCCATCATGACTACGTGTCCGGAATTCGCAAAAAAACGAAGGGGAGGGTGCAAGAGCGGCTCCCAGAGCGGTGTCGGTTGTATCACCGGGTGGGGCTGGATCTGGCTCAAATCCCCAGGCGAGGATGGAGTCGTCCCCTAGGTCCTTCATGATTTGTTCCTGCAGTCTGCGGAAGGCCTTATCCCCCTCGCCGTATATCATTGGCATGGAGACACCGAAAATCCCGAGGAGGGAATACGCGATGTCTTCGGGTCGTTTGGTGACTCTCTTTGCAGCCCAGGACATTCTCTGCGCGACACTGGCCTGATGAAGATCGGCCATACCCAGCAGGAACGAAGTTGGGATTCCTGTGACGGTTTCGACCAAGTGACACAGATCCCCTTTCGTCCCGAGACATGACCAACCCGCGTCGTAGAAACGCATATTCAACGGGGCGAGGAGCTCCTGCAAGGTCCAGCCTCGCCGGAACCAACGGCTTGACGAGAAGGTGGATCGATCCCCATTCGGGTCTTCCCCGGGGCGGACGTCGGAGAGGTACGCATAGCAGACGCCGCATTCTTTATACCACCTGTACATACTGTTGATGGCCTCTTGAAGTTCGACCGAATTGGTCTTGTCGATGCAGCAGGTGTGGATCCAAAGGTATTGGTAGCCATCTTCCTTGGCGATTTTGCAGCTGCCACTTACTTTGAGCGGCCGCGAAGAGTCCGAGGCGAACCTCCCGTCTAAGACATCGCGAAAGGATACCTCTTCGTTATCGCTACCCCATGTATGGGATAGAATGGCGTAGGCGGGCGGCGAGGAGAAGAACTCCTCTAGCTTAAAGGTGTCGACATTCAGGACGCGCATAGTGGATTGCTGACGCTTAAATATAAGTAGATAGCCCGAGAGATGGAAGTCGAGGGATACCAGTTGGGATCAGGAGCCTTGTGCTCCTCAACCCAAAAGGGCAGAGGGGTTCAGCCACCCATCTTCCAATGGGAGGCAACCTCAGCCAGCCAGCCGCTTGGGTCGCAATCGTAATCGTGCAAGGCTTCCTCTAATGTCTACTCTGGGGATGCTCGGTGGCCGCGGTAATGCTCAGAACCGCACAATAGTAATCCTTCCCTTTTCATCTTCTCCCACAATCCACCGTTCATCGCCTGCAATATGCCCCTTAGCGGCGAGGTCGGACCACATCTGGGTTGGAAATGATGCCTCCTGACTTCTCGCTGCGACTGGCTTCGTACTACTAGACCGCCGCCTGGTCTTCCCAGTAACTCCATTGGTTTGAGCCATTGTCACCGTCGCAGTATTTTTAACCACAACGGTCGGGCGGATATGCACCGACAAGCCCTCAAACATGAAGCTGTGACGGGCCGTTACCCGTACGCCGGCGGCAAAATCCACCATCTCTGAGACAGTCAGGTAAGGGAAATCTTCGTGACGCCAACAAGGGGCCCAGCCAGGCCAGCGAGCTGTTTCAGTCGCATATATGGGGTTTGAAGAGTTCGTTTCACTAAGTGCCCATGGCCAGCCCACAGGACTGGGCGATGACCGTGGCTGGGACCGATCGTCGTAGTTTTCATGGTGATGTCCCGTGGTTGGAGCGAGCCACACGCCGTGTGAAATGCTCGGTCTGAAGCCGTTGGTGTCGGCCATGCGCCAGCAAAAGTTCATGTCGACATCCCCGTTTGCGCCGCATGTATCGACCCACATGGGACCGTGGACGGGCCCATCGACAATGTTGGACAACGTAGACGTCGGGTTGCCAGGTTGGCTGGCACCGGCGAGGTCGGTGATAGACCGAGCAGCAATTTTGCAGGCTTTTTGAGTGAAAGGCGTTGGCGCTGGGATGACGGGTATTCCGGTGCTTCGAACCAGATGAACGCGGGGTGGGCTCAGGGAGCTATGTTGGCCATCGGCCCACCGGTGTTCTTCTTCTATCACATATAGATTCTGGCTATCCAAGGCCAAGCTCCTGAGTCGCGGTGTTGCCCGTTGGCGTAACCCGTAGAAATCCAGCTCACGCCAGGCCATGCGTCGGATAACCTGTGGCCCAGCGGTAGCAGTTGCCAACGAGGCTCTTCTCGGCGCCTTGGGATTCGGGTTAGAGTCAACCAGCCCCTGTGCATTAGCAGCTGACGTTCCATTCTGCCCGCTCCACAAGCCAGTTGGCAACGACGGCGCGCGGGCGACGACTGGCCGCTTGCCGCCTTGAGGATCTTCTGACGGCCGGTACGCGCTGGGAGACGAGATATCCCAAATAGCCAGCTGTTCGATAGGGTCATCTTGATAGAGCGAACGGTTGGGCTGCCAAAAGTACACGGCATAATGAGTGGCAGTGTGTGCCGAAAAGAAGCGGTCAGAGCGGTTCAGGGGCAGGCCGAGAAAATGCAGCTTCCACTCGGAACGGAACTCGACAGTCCATGTCCGCTCTGTGGGAGCGCCGGAGGGCTTGCGAATGACGTCGAAAGCCGTCACAAAATGGCGATGTACGACCTCTCGGTCATTGAGTTGGTGGTAGGGCAGTGCTTCTGCCCACTCAAAAATGAGCACCCCTTGGGCTAACCGAACTCGACGAACGTGCCTTGCGCGGACGTCAAAGGAAACAGGGACCCGCTGACCGGTGGCGAGGTCGAGGATATGATAGATGCGCCCGTCACAGCGTTCTGGCGGAACCTCCAAGGCGGCTGGGTACACCAACACTCCATCTTCCTGACTGTACCACCAGACCGGATCAGGATAGTGGAAGTTGCAAGTCCCATAGCTCACGCGAAGGAACCGGTTCCAGTGTGCCACGCCCCAGAAGGAGAAAATGGACCCGTGTTCCTGGCTACTCGGGGCTAACTCGAGCTTCTCGATGACCCCAGGACGGCCCTTGTTCAGATGAAAATATCGGCGAGCCACCTCAGCGAAGGTCGAGGACCAATTTCGGGGCTGTTGGGCGACCTCTTCGAGTTCGGCTTTCACATTCGCTGGAAATCTGGTCTCCAGGATCGAGCCCGATGCGACCGCAGCAGCTAAACGTAATTCACGGCATCGCGGGATATTCCAGCGCAAAAGCAATAGTGAAATATCTTCGCTCGTGAAGGCAGCGTGCCATTGGCGACTGACGGCGCGACACCGCACGCAATCCCGAGGCGAGAGATACCAAATGATGAGAAGAAAAAGATCATGAGGTAGCTCGGCGATGTCTCTCATTTTCGCGATGGGTTGCCTCTATGTTCAAATTCCATGTTTAATCGACTGCATGAACACAGTTGCCTAGCATCGTATGCAGATGGGCACGTACTGTGTGGATGGTAGGTATGTACGAACTGATGTTGGTGCAGGAGTCAATAGGTAGGAATTGGCTGGGGCGGGATTGGGAAGTCGAGTCGGTAGTTTGGGGGATGCAGTGTTCCAAAGTGGGCACGAAAGGTGGCGCCACTGCTTTGGGGTTAGCTGACTTCCCTGAGAGTGTTGACACACACAGTAGGTATTCGTAGGTGGGAGGGCACTGCCCCTTAGGTCAACCATCAGCGCACCTCCGATACACCTGGGCTGCCCGTTCGGTAATTTTTGACTCACACCACCAACAAATTCACAAATGGTGGAACTGCCCGAAGCTGCAATCGGACAGTCCTACTTCCCTATTAGGTTGTCTGGTATATTGAGTTAAGGGAGGGCGCCCAACCTACACCGACTCAGTGAGTCCGAGACACCCGACACCGAAATAAACCGACCCCTCCAGAGGCTCGGTTACCGTTATTAATATCACCATGCAGACCGACCAGTTCGGTGCTAGTTAACCCGTCTAGCTTTCCTGATTGCTCCACACCGGCAACCCTCACCATGCAGACCAGTTATCAGATGATTCGGTCAAGGGGACCTAAAGCGTCGATGTGTTGTCAGACAGAAACGCAACCCATCATTTCGTCCGATGGAACATAGATGCGACGAACGTGTATGTGCAATCCGGGATGTTCTCATGCCATTTGGTGCGCGCAAAAGCTACGGCGTTATTCGTACCCGTTGAGTAGGTACTATGCAGGTCTGGTCTGCGCTGGATATTTGTTCTCCGCCCACATAAGACCGGGTTGGAGCCCCTGGATCACCCTGAGTCAAGCTTTTCCAGGCCGTCCTCGGCGTCCCAAACGGCGCAACCCCCCCTTCCTAGCGGAGAACCCGGAGCCTCCCGCAGATTAGAGGACCCCGCGCGAACCCCCCAGCCAGCCGTTCCTGTCTTATTCGAGCGTCCTCCACCTTCTGGCCGCTCCCCACGATTCTCCTGTCATCTTGGCAAAAGCCAAGCAGTCAGCCTGTCTAGCCTTGGCATATGCAACCCCCAAGCTTCATCTCGTCCACGATCTCTTGGCTTTTGTATTCTTCTGGTCCCGCTCTTGAGCCTACTATCGCGATCCCGACTCGGTCGGACGCCGCCAGCGCGCAGCCCGATCCATCGTACGCGTGCGCGCCCTTGTTGGACCCTGCCCGACCTCCCGTGTCGCATGGCCAGCGACGCGGCCATCCAGCATCCGACGCTTGAACCCGAACCCGAACGCTGGAACACACACGCACACACACACGCCCCCCTCCCATCTCGCAGACGCCGCTTCCCGAACGCGCCAAACACGTATCCGCATTCGCATCTCGGTTTGTTTGCCAAGGCAACAAGCATAGATGGGCTTCTCGAAGAAGCCAGCCGACAACCGCGCCGCCGACCCTGCCCCTGCGTCCGCGTCTGCCTCCCAGGAACCGTCGTCGACCAGCAGCCTCTCCTTTTTCTCGCGCTTCACCTTACCCCTCCGGTCGCGTGCCCGCTACATTGCCGACTTCCATATCCGCCCGGCTGAGCCCCATCGCAAGTATGGTGCGGGTGACCAGGTGCAGGGTGCCGTAGTCCTGACCGTCGTGAAGCCCGTCCGCATCACCCACCTGGTCGTGTCCCTCCATGGTCACATGCGCGTCTACAAGGGCCTCAACGCCCCCACGAACGAACCCATAATTGATCCTGCTGAGGCCCTGACTACGTCGAGCCGTGGTTCGCGTCATAAACATCTCGGCAACGGCTGCGTCAGACTCTTTCAGGATGAGCAAACCCTCAGCGGCGATGGGAGGCTCGAGCCGGGCAAATACGAGTTCAACTTCAACCTGCTGTTCCCAGCGAATGGTTTGCCGAGCAGTATAGATGTACGCGCCCTGCGGGCACTATGTGACCTAACTTTCTTCGTCAGTCGCTAACCTACGTCGGTACAGTTCGAACGCGGGACAATATCCTACATGATCACGGCGACTCTGACGCGTCCGACGTCCATAGGCACTAAAACAGCGCCTAAAACGAGCTGCGAGCGAAAACTCTACCTCGTTGAGAAGCTTGACATAGGATCCCTGGCCCCACCACGACCGCGTACCATCTATCTCGAGCCCATTTCTAAGCGACCTAAAAAGAAGAAGCCGGTTGCTGTCAGTGTGGAAAAGGCTCCCGTCGCAATCGACGGAGCCGTGCCGATCTCTGAACCCGACTCGTCTCGGGCAAACGAGAACTCCACCGAAGGCTCCCTATCCGTGATCGGCGAAGACCTAGAACACGAACTGACGGGCAATAATCCTCGAAGTCCACAAAGCGATGTCCGGAGTGTAAGCAGCGAGAGCGCCGTTAGCGGTAGCACTGGCCAAAGCAGAGCGGGAGATGCAAACTATGCGGTAGCCACAACCCCTTCACTCGCCGGGAAGAAAGTCCCCGCCGTGAAAGAACGAACCATTACGGCAACCGTCGAACTGCCAAAAGGCGGTTGCCTTCGAGGAGACATGGTCCCCATCAAAATATCGGTCCAGCACATCAGGCGGATCAAGAGCATGCACGGTGTCATCGTCACTCTGTATAGGTTGGGGCGCATAGATTCGTCGCCGCCATTGCTCTCCAAGGAACTGCCCGAGGCCGAGGCTCGGAGGTTGGAGAAGGAAGAATACTACCCCAGGTCCAAGACAGGGCTGGGCGGCCTGTCTCTGTCCTCTGCAGGGTCCTGCAGCGTGTTCCGAAAGGACCTGTCACAGGCCTTTGCCCCGTTGATCATCGACCCGGACACCCTGACTGCCAATCTCACCGCTTCGGTGCGGGTGCCCGAAGACGTGTTTCCCACCATCAAAGGTGCTCCGTACGAGATGATCTCGTTCAAGTACCACGTCGAGGTGATCGTCGACCTGGGGGGGAAACTGGCGAATCAAATACACGGCATCAAGCCGTCTGGCACGAGAGTGAGTCCCGTGGCGGGACCCCTCGGCCTAACCGGTAACCCGTACGAAGGCGGTCCCGCCACCATGACCTCTTGGAGCTCGAGCATTATTGATACAGACGGACTCCGGCGCCAGAAGGGCGTCATCTGCGTTGTGTTTGAGGTCGTCGTGGGGACAGCTGACAGTAGCCGGCTGCGAGCCAAAGCGCCGGCGAAGCCGAACTCTTTCGTCCACAACGTGCCAGTCTTGGAAACTGATGTGTACGATGGCGATCAGAATGAGAAGCAACCATGGCCAAACGCCCCCGAGGACGGCAACGGGTACCCGTCAGATGAATTTCCTCAGGACTATAGCCCATCACCTCATTTTCAAGCGCCCCAACCTTACCCTTACTGGGGAACCTCTTCGCCACAACATCCGCCTGCCCCCCACTACATCCCTCCTCCGGACATCCCAGACGATACCCATCTCACCGACAAAGAGCGCATTCGACGTGCCGAGCAACGGTTGCTCCCCAGCCAGCCACCAGAAGCCCCCGTCGCGGGCCATTCCAATTCACATCTCGCCAACGGCGAGAACATCTACGACGCCGACGACCAAATACCAACGCCTGTCGCGGGCCCTTCGGACGATGTACAGCCGTCTAATCCAACTCGAGAAAATTATTTTGGCGCGCCGTCGGCACCAGCGCTAGAGGACCTGTCCTCCAACACTGGTGCCCATACGAATGAAGATAAGCAGGAACTCGAGAGGCGTCGACTGCTTGCTGAAGCCGGCGCGCCGCCCGAATGCCCTGAAGATTACGACAACGGCGGGAGCAGCAGCGCCGCAGCATCAGCACCAGCAGCCGAGCCGAGTGCTCCCCCTAGTCACGATCTCCAACCCTCAGCCCCGGTGCTAGAGGATGAGGGCGCGTATGGACCGCATTACACTTACGGCACGGCGGGGACAGGCACATTGCCATTACCGGCATCGAGGAACGTTGCCGAGCCAGAAGAGCCGTTACCAAAGTACGAGCGGTGATGTATGAACGATTCGGGCTTGAGGAAGGGACGTTGTGTATTCGATCACGAATGAGCTTTGGGTATCGACGGGGGAGGTGGAAAGATGAACGATGTGTGGGGATGATAGTGTATATTGTAATGAACTGCAGGAACGGTGGTATATACCTTCTTATGTTTTCGGGCCTCACGGACGGCGTAGTGATTTACATCTGGGTAAGTAGCGGTGGGTTCACGGGGACGATGTAATAAAAGCCATTAGGCTTGGCTTTTGCCGTTGTTCTCGGTTGAAATATGCGCTGCTGAAAACGAGGGTATCTATGAGTCTGCAAAACCGAAGCAACATCGACGCCAACGACGTCAAAATCCCCCTAGCTTGAGTCCTGTTTCAAGCGAATGTATGGCATGCCCCAACCATCCTTGACGGCCTGTTTTGGTACGAAATGTACCCATCCTATGAACCAGCCCAGCCGCCTCTTTGCCCGCTCTAAACGAAAGTTATCCCGTGGTATCATAAAAGAAGGAAAGAAAAAATAAAAATAAAAAAGATAAACGCCGGGAAAAGAATAAAACCAAAACGAGGGTTCGCTTCCAGCCAGGAAGCACACTGATACAAACCTCTCTCCACCCCGCGCCACACGAAAGACGCTCCCCCTCAACCCCGCCGCACTCCATTCCCATCCAGCTCTATCTCAACCGCATCCCCCGCCAGCTCCCCCACAGTCGCCGCCCGGCTCCTCTGATACCGCCACGCCGGAACCCGCGGCGGCGGCCCAGCAACAACAGGACCAGGACCAGGACCGAGACCGGGACTAGGACCCCCAACCGCCGCCGCCGATGGCGACGAATATGCCCTCTGCCGAGCACCACCGCCCACACTCCCAACACCACCACCACCACCACCACCACCACCACCACCGCTACCCAGTTCCCCCAACCTCCTCCCCCCATCGACCTCCTCCGCCACCTCAACCCGATACACCCACCCGCTCCCGGGACTCCCACCGCCGCCGCCCAAACCCCCCCGACTCCCCCGATCCGGCATCCCCACCACCTGTTGCGTCGGCGATGGTGTCGGCTTCGGCTTCTGTTGCAGCTGCAGCTGTTGCAAATACCCATACTCCTCCTCCTCCACCACCACCACCCCCCCCTTCCCGCCGGCGGCCGGTACCGCAAACCCAGGCGATGTCGGCGACGGCGTGCCGACGAGCGTCGTCAGGCCGGATTCGTTCCGCTCGTGTGACTGGTGGTGGTGTGGGTGGTGGTGGTGTGGGTACTGGTGGTATTGCTGGTATTGCTGGTACTGGTCTGGGTTGGCGGTTAGGTACCCTCCCCCGGCCTTGTACGCGCCCCCGCCGGCACCGGTACCGGGAGTGGTGGTGGTGGTGGTAGTGGGGGAGGTGGGGAAGGCGGGAGAGGTGGCTGAGGCGGGGAGGGTGTACTCGGCGTCGTGGTGGGCGGCGGCGGCGGCGGTGGCGGTGGCGAACTGGGGCAGGACGCGCGGCAGGGTGGGTTGTCGGGAGCCGAGGCTGGGGCGGGCGCCTGTGCTGGTGCGTGTGCCTGCGCCTGCGCCGGTGTGGGTGCTGCTGCGGCTTCGGTTAGCGGTTGCGGTGCCCGTCACGGTCCCGGTTCCGGGGTAGAGGGTCGCGTCCTCGTCGGAATGGAGGGGGTAATGGTGGTGGTGCTGCTGCTGCTGGTGGAATTGGTGTTGGAAATAGTCGAGTGTGGCCGAGTCGGCGGAGGGGCGTCGTTTCCCTGATCGGCGGAAGGCGCCGCCGCACCGCCGGCGGATGGAGAGGATGATGAAGCCGGCTAGGAGGAGGGCGAGGACACTGCCTCCTGCTGCTATGCCAGCTATGGCTGGGGTTGGGAGTGGGTTTGGTGCGGTGGAGGATGAGGAGGTGGGTTGGTTGGTTTCGGATGCAGTTGGTGAAGGGATTATGCTGGCGGTCTCAGTGAGGGTGACCGTTGTGGGTGGTTTGGAGGTGACTGTGATAGTGGAGGTTATGGTGGTTGTTGTTTCTGCTTTGAGGACGCTATGGGATGTAAGCATTGGTAGCCGGCACCTACCACAGCTTCTCTAGCCATGATGATATTTTGAGACGCACTGAGTGTTTGTTTGATAGACTGTAGTGACTTCCGTTGAAGTTGTATGGACGGTAATCATAATGGAGGATATGCTCGTCGTGTCAACCGTTTCAGTGACATAGTCGGTCGTTGTAGGAGTGGCCTCCTCTCTCGCTTTCCTTGGGATAGGAGTGGGATCAGTAGAAATAGAGGTCCCCCGGCCTTCAATCGGGTGTGGCTGTTGCGCCTGGTTGCCTCCTTTGCTCGGCTGAGGTTGTAGACATGTAGCAGCTCTTCTTGCGACCGCGGTTGTCGTCTCCCACACCACGCTGATCTGCGTGGCCGCAGTTGAGATAGTGACATCGACGGTCGACAGAATCGTTAATGTTTCGACCTCGGCTATAAAAATGGTGGCTCGCTGTGTCGCAATATGTGTGATGGTCCGGACGACAGTCGACGTAACAGTTACGGGATCCCTTAGCTTGTCAACTTGGTGGCCTGGTACTTTTGTGACAGCCTACGTGACTTACACCGAGGCGAGGCATTTTCCCTGGGAGCATACTTGATCACTCGAACAGCAACCAGATCCGCAACACACTTGATCGGCCCCGCAGCAGAATTCCCCATCCACGCAACAGTTCCCACAGCCAGGGCAGAAGTCGACATCGTTACCGAAGCAGTAGTTGGAGCCGTTGGCGAGGCAGTCTCTCTTGCCTAGGTCTAGGGTGCGCTCCCGGCGGCCGAACAGAGGCTCGGTCCCGGGAATCGGGTCCAGCCAAGTGTTGTGGTACCGGGTGTTTGCATCAGGTGCAAGAGGCAGGCTTGTTTCAGATCCGTGTCTCAGTATCGACGATGAGGCTGGACAGGCAGCAAACGCCAGGACGGCGGTAATGACAGCAGGCAGCCGGGCCCAGACAGAAGTCATGGCGAGGATGCCGGATCATGATGTGGTTCCAGGGAGAGAGCAAACATGTTACGTCAAGGACTACCTACCTGAACGGCATCAAGAGGGCTGACCCAGCAATGTGGCTCCGGGACGATCCCTCCCCGTTCTACAGACAGAGCTTTGCTCCCCTCGTTCACCGCGTCAGACAACAAATCATAGACCAAGACATGTGGCGGCGTGCAGACCATACGCATGCGAAGTACACCGACTTCTCAGCTGCGCAACAACAACCCGCAATGGCGGGCACCACTCAGGCCCGAGCGAACGATGACCAATGACTAACGGGGGTTCAAGGCAGGGGTCAAGCGTCAAGCGAGGGTCAAAAGTTGCCTTTCTCTTGTCTCGTCTTCGGGTCAGATTTAACGCAAGCCGTCGGGATCTCGGGGAGGTTTGTGAACCCAACCATCGCTTGACTAATTGGGGCTGCGGGCGGTGCAGCTGACGCGGGGCTGTCAAACTGTCGAATCGCCCACGGGATAACTGACATATTCTTCAGCCATCGCTTTTGGATGGTTGGCCGGAGATCGCGCCTGCGGTGGGGAGGGGAGGGGAGGGGGGGTTCTGAGTTGGGCTGAAGAATACGATGGCCCGATAAAATCCTCGAGGCTATGTTACGGGAACCGCACCCTGACTGGCAAGTCATACGGTGATTGATCGAATTGAATGCTAAGTGATTCGTTCGAAAATAGAATAAAATAAAAAACAACAACCAAAAAAAACTCGTTGGTAGTTTGTTTCAGTCTCGATGCAAGAAAATGGCCGGATATGGGATGAGGTCTCGGGAAGCAGGGAAGAAGCGGCACTTGGCAGGCACTCCAATTCTGTGTTGTTGCCGCAGCGTCCCATCGACAGGGCTGGGAGGAGGCCGATTGTGGGGCCCGCAGCGAGCAACCCCCCACCCGAATGCCCCGCGTTCAGCGCGAGAACAGCAACGCGCATAACTCTCCCGTCAGCTCGACAAGGGGAGCGAGTTGCATCTGTGTACCCCCAAAAAATCCTTTCCAGGTTGATTCGAACGAAGCGGCCCTTTTGCGTTATTAGCACCCAGTGGTCAGTGGTCAGTGGCCAGCCACCATGGATATCGACGACATCCTTCGGGAAGTCGACCCGACCTTTCATAGCATACCACAAGAAAAGCGCGATCTCCAAGAGCTCACCCGCGCCTGGATCGCCGAGAGATCTGCACCCGAGCTCCTGGCGTATGGCCCTCTGCCCTGGCTCTCGACCCCTTCGCTGCCCAACACGCGCTGATTCAACATGAAACACACAGCTGGCCCGCCGACGGCCTCTTCGAGCGCATCAATGACAACATCAAGCAGCAGATCGAAAAGGTCGAGGAGATGACGGGCGACATGGACCCCAAGACCAACTTCGCCCTGATCGTCATCCAGACCGAGCTCGAGCGCTACCGCTACCTCGTGCGCAGCTACCTGCGCGCCCGCATCGCCAAGATCGACCGCCACACCCTGCACTACCTATCGACCGACGACCTGCGCGCCCGCCTGTCCGAGATGGAGCTGGCCTACGCGACCCGCCACCAGGCCCTGCTGCACAACCACTACCTGTCGTCCTTCCTGTCGTCCTTCCCGGCCAACCTCCAGAACCTGAACGACGCCGCCGCCGGCATCAGCATGATCGAGACGCCCGACCTCGAGTCGGCCGTGTTTATCCGCGCCCTCAAGGACACGCCCGTCGAGGCGCGCGGCGTCGACACGGATGCGTACGCGGATTTGAAGGAGAGCGACATTGTTATCTTGCGGTGGGCCGATGCGAAAAAGCTGGTGGAGGCTGGGACCGCCGAGCTCGTTTGAACAATGGCATCCGAGGATGGCGACTCCCCGGGTCTGAAGGCGTCCATGTCACGCGTGAATCGTCACTATCCATCACCGCTTGGATAGCGAAAGTCAGATGTCAAGGGCTGTGACATCCACCACCCCGGAGACCCCACACTGCTCCCAAGCAGACGCGACATGGGGTTAGTTATCCACTGCGCCGGGAGGAAATCGCCGAGACAGCGGGCATTCGCCTCGACCCTGCCCCAATGGCGTCCACAACCAGCACCAGCAGACGCGCGGGGACCGGAGGCCCCCAAGCCCTCGAAGTGTCTCGCGGTGGCATTGTTATGCCTCATCCGATGAGTTGACGGTGAGGGAGTTGTAGCCTAGGTCGTGCCAGCTGTCAGCGAGCCTAAAGAATATC